TTGAAGTATGTTTACTTATAAATATAAATTATAAGATTGATTCTTTGTTGTTTTTCTAGTTAAAACTTGTGACAAGTGTACATCATTAAATGAATATGTTGTTATCAAGTTTTTAATAGATAAAGCTATGATAACAACCATGTGTTGTGGAACAACTGTTGCAGCAGTTTTCTTTCCCTTCAGAACGTTGCTCTACTTAAAGGAAGCAGGAAGGAGAGGTTTTTTCACTGGAAATGGAAGGAACTATCACTGTGAATTGGCAATGCCTGGAGTGGCTGACACCGTCATAACTGTAAGCGACAACATTAATTAAAGATAATTAGATTTGAATAATTCCGAAATCATTAATTAGTTATGTTACTTAATGTTTGACTATATTAACTGCAATTTTACACGTAACATTAGGTCTAACTGGAATGTCGAAATTTGAAATTGAATTACATTGAAAATCAAACCAGTCACGTCACTATTAATCAGGCCTGTTGTTGTTGTGAAACATGATCCTTAACGTATCATTGTTAAAATAATTAAGTCTGAATTCTCGTAACAGTATTTCAATACCCTGTCTGTGACACGTTTCAACAATTTTCTTTTAAGTACTATTTCGGCAATATTTTTTTAACCGGATACCTACGATCGTTTCTCAAAAAGTTAACAGTTAACTGAATATTATCGAGATAGTACAATAAATTTGTTGAAACATTCAAACTTGTTTTGGTTTTTTACGACAGGAGAAAAAATTTAAATAATGAAGATACTGAAATACTCAATGCAATACTATTAACATTGATGTGCGTAAAGTTGCATAAGCAAAGTTCTACATATATTCATTACTTTAAATTTCGTCGTGTCTGCCATGACGCAAATTTATGCAGCAGTGTGAAAGTTACCGTAATATAAACGACACAGCATTTATTTTAAATTTTCTTTTATAAACGGTAATAGAAACATTGTGTATATTTCGACTTTATTATGAGAATAAGGAGATAAGGGAAAAGCAATATTAAATTAATTTCAAGTTAACTTCACCACCACTTCTCCCACATTAAATATTATTGTTTTACTTACTTTGCAGTATTTTACCTGCTTTTCTTGCCAATTTCTTCAGATTTGCTGTGAAATGAGAGAGAATTTGCAAGTTAAATTTGAATCTAGAGTTCTGCTTATTCGATATAAATAAAGAAAACGGTTTGGGATTATTGTAACATTGTATTATACACGTTTTTCTTTTTAGAGAGAGTATATTGTTGAATATTCATTAATAAGATTTTACATTACAGGAACATTACAAAAGCTGGATGTCAGTGGTTGCTGAGCATTGGTTGTTTCATTCCTCTTTTACTCCAGAAAGTGGCAGTACCCGAAGTCGTAAAGAAAAGGTGTAAGTGCCATTTTTCAATTGGAAATAGAGATGGCGCGTTTTTTCTAAAATAAGAATTTACGATAATGAATTGGTAAGTAAAATAGTAGATGAGATCCCACAAAGCTCAGTTTAGACATTTGTAACTTTGCTTCAATAGACAACCTAAACATTTCAGAAACTTATACATATTTTGACTTTAATATGAGAACCAGAAGATAAATTAAAAGGAAGATTAAATACTGATACGTGCTGATAGTGGTAGTTAATTAGTTTTTCTTGTTCATTTCTACAGCTTGGTCAATAAATGAAGGAGAACTGGAAGTTAATTTTCACTGTCTGGATGTGATTTGCTTTCCGCATGTGTGAACTTTGGAATATTGCGGTCTGCAACTAATCAAGGTGAGCATATAAAGTACAATTAATATTTTTATTATTATTTTTAATTTATTGTCAATTTTCGCAACATAAGTTTTCCTGGAACATTATGCATGCAGTGGCGAACATATAATACTTTTTTTGTTAATAGAATGTCGAACCACCCGCTATTTTGTTAGAATTGTATGTATTACAAAATTTCAGTTTATCTAAATTTTTTC